TGGCTTCCTGGCTTGACTACTGCTGCAATACTCTTCTAGGGGTTAATTCCCAAACCCCTCCCAGAATTCCTGAGCTGGATTAGATCATGGATGAGTCTCAGATCTACCAACAAGGCCTGTAGATAGAATATATGCTTCATAAATAGAAAGCCCCAGGTTTAGTTCTTCACATCTCTAGTTAAAACGATCAAATAGGAAGTATTGAGAAAGGTGATCTGTGCTTGGGAATCCTGCAGAGCTGCTACTTTCAGAGCTGAATATACTAGAATAGGTGGGTACGTAATCTGATTTGGTGTTCTTGGTTTGCTGGGTTTTGCTGGAATACTTATTGGACAAGGAGCTTTGAGACACATAGCTGATCATTTAACTTGAGCTTTGTGGTGATAAACCTCCTTCAAAGATCTCCAAGTTCTCTTTTGTTTTATTTTCTTGATATGCTTTTACCAAATGTCTGCATGTAGCAGGGAGTAATTACAAGACAAGTGGAAATAGAGACTTTGGATTCTGAAACAAGAATCGTGCCAAAAATGAGAACAAGACCTGTAATCTGTTTCTTGGAATTCATTTTTTCTCTCTTGCTCATCTTCTAACATTCTCCAGTTTACTGTGTTAGATATGCATTGCTGTAAATATCTGGATATTTTGAAGTGCTGCTGCCACAGCTGTTTTTTTTTTTTTAAGGCAAATCAAAAGCAATCCCAGGACCCATTCCAAAAATGGAATGACACTGCTTCCCACTTGTTAAATCTATTCCTAGCCCACTAGCCTACCGGCTCTTTCCAGATGAAATTCTATTGAGCAAATGTTATACCAGGAAAAGGAGATTGTAATATTTTAATGAAAAATCTCTGAGAATCTTTGCACATTCCCTAAGTACCCACAATGTGTCAAATGGGGCTTCGAAGTTTAGGGATCCTTGGTAAACAGCTTCTTTTGAGATCAGTATAGTAAAGATTGCAGCATATAATTGTAATACTGAATGCATAAGCACAGCAAGGAAGAAGCCCCACTGAGTAATATGCAGAAGACCACAGTTATAACCTTTCAGGTTTGGTAAACAAAATCAGTACATTAGTTTTTCATTATTGTTGCTTAATGGCAGGTTTTGAGTTTTATAAATATATAAAAAGACACTTTGGAGATTGCTGTGGATCAGCATACTGCTAACAGATTTTAGAGAACGTTTTACATTTTTAAACAACTACATGGCTTAAAGCCCCATTTCTGGGTATTAATGAAAAATATTGATTTTAAGCGTTTTAAAATCCCTGATGGACCAGGTTCAGCATTCCTAAAGGATTATATTCTCCCACACAAACCTGTCTGGTTGTTGCAATCTGCTTTAATTCCTGTATAATCGGCTATGGAGGGCTCCAGTTGAAGATGCTGCCTTTTTAAAGACCCCATTTTATGATTGTGTGTTGGTTTACCATTTTTTTCTAGTATTCTTATATTTCTGTGTGAACGTGAAATGACTTCAGGTTTTCTAACAGAGCAAATAGGAGTACTTGTTGATTTGTATAGCTTTTTTTTTACAACTACTTTGCATATTAGAGCAGTCATTTCAATAGAAAGGAATTAAATTTCTTGAGAATCAATATATAAATACGGCAGGACTTCAGTAGATGTGAACTTTTTGGTTTAAACACATATCTGAATACTCGCTTGCTATTCCCCCTGGAACATTTACTCTCAAAAGCTAGTTATAATGTTTTTCTTATGCACAAATTTATTTCATTGAGCTAAAAAAATTAAGAGACTGTCAACAGAAAACATTTGATACCTCTGCTTGCCAAATAATCTAAATACATTAGCTGAATTTTTAATCAAGAGTATATCATCTCCTTAAAATTGTCTGCCTAGTGATTATACCTTTCATTACCTACTCTATACATCTAATATTTTAGCTCTCTTTTCTTGGTACATAATAGCTGTCACTTTTCTATTCTTGAATTGCTTGCTTACTACTAATTTTTCTACTCAGAAAGAGTAGAGTCCTTAGAATCCTTTCCCCCCCTCCAACTCACTGCTTAATATCAATTTTCTAGGGTTTCTTGTTTGCTTGATTATTCCCCCCACAAAAAAACAGTTAACTATAGGTAATCCTTGAGTTTTGACCATAACCGGGACTGAAATGTAGGTCATTAAGTGATGCAGTAGTTAAACAGTTCATCACATGACCCGACAGATTTTATGTCCATTTTTACTGCAGCTGTTAAGCAAATCCAATTAAAATGAGCAAATAGGTAGGAAGTGTTGGCAAAGATAACCATTTCCTGAGAATCCTGCAGGGCTGCTATTGTCCGAGCAGAATGTTCTTGCTTAGATGGATACCATAATCTGACTTGGCATAAAGCAGATCTTGATGTTGCTGTGTTCTCCTGGAATACTGTATTGTAGGTTGGCAGTTTGCCTGCTGGCATGGAAAAACTGGAGCCCCCAGACAGCCCTTCCCTACTAGATTTGATAAACTAAGAATAGCAAGGATTAAGCTTGTAAATGGTAGACCAAACATGTCTGAGTATCTTTCCCACCTTCACAGGCTTCGATGTCTGATACTCATTGAGAGGGCTGTAAGCATTTCTATTTTTGGTATTGCATTAATTTGAAGATTTAAGTTTCAGTTTGTCTAAATGTTTCATAAAGTATAGTGCATCTCTCATAATTGATTTTTCTTCCCCTTCTGCTTAAAGACTAGAGTGGTCAAGTTTTTGATTAAATAAATCTGATCTGTAAGATTTATTTGGTAATGACTGCTGTTCTTTTATTTTTTTTAATGGAAACATTCTTTTTTTATATACTGGATGTATGTGCCGGTATATAGAAATGGAATGAGTCTTTGGAATAATCCTGTTGTCGTCATAAAAGGTCTTCAGCAGTTCAGAAAGATAAGAAATCATCATCAAATCATTATCATCATCATCATCATCAAGAACATCTTATAAATACAATTTTTATTTGTTTATATCCCATCTTTATTATTTTTTACAAACAATAACTCAAGAAGGTGAACATATTCTCCACCTATTTTTTGCACACTAAGCCTGTGAGGTGAGTTGGGTTGAGAGAGAATGACTGGCCCAAAGTCAACCTAGCTGACTTTAATGGCTAAGAAGGGATTTGAACTCACAGTTCAAATCTTCTGCTTTCTAGCCTGGTGTCTTAACAACTAGACCAATTAAAAAGCCCCCTTTGTGCGAAATGTTATGTGAAACATTCTCCTCTGTTTTTAGTGTAAAATATGTGAAGTATGAAAAGGTGGAGATTTGGGGGAGGGGGGGGGGAATGTTGTATATATAGTTGGATGACTTCTTAAATCCTGCACTTTCTAGATATACATGATCTCTCAATAGTTTTATAATAATATTCATTTTAATTCATTGGGAGAATAGAACCAAATATTCCTTGGGTAAATGATTTTACACAATTCATTTAATTTGCACCAAAAGAAGAAAATAAAATATCAGTTTTAATTGCCTCCATCCCATCATTGGGCATCAAGCAAACTTATTTTGCTCAGGGTTTATTTAGCATTTTCCTATACCCACAAGGACTATTGTTCACTTAAAATGCTTAGTTTGCAAATAATACAATAATAAAAGAAGCTGTCATGCTTCAAAGATAATGCTGAAAATTGCAGAGTGGGTTGGGAGAGGAAAAAGAGAAAGGCTGATTAGAAGAGGTGATAGCCAACAATTTATTTGCTTGGTTTAGCTCAAAATCAAAGATTTTAAAGTTTATAAGCAACTCAGTGGATCCCAAGAGCATTTCAGGTTCCGTTTTGGTTCCTGTGTGATCCATTTGCATGTCCGTTTCTTTTGGGAATTACAGAAGATATAATTTCCAAAAGTTGGAGGATTCAGCATTCTGATTACAGCTGCTAGGCTGACTGTCATTAAATACTGGGAATTCAGGATTTATTTAACCAGTGGACGAATCATTGAACAAATAATTATGCATGGAAGGCTTTTAATAATGGCAAAAAGATATGAGGAAGAACATTATTTTCCTAATAATACTTCTGTCCCTGCTGGAATTAAATATGAAATAGGCATCACTGCTAATTTAATGATTCTGAGTTTTTTAGAATGTTTATTTACATAAATTTGATTTATGTAACAGAATGTGGTTGGGTTTATGTTTGAAGCGTATAATTCGGATTATTATCATTATCAAAAAATGCATTTGGAGGGAAATTTATACTCAGAAAATCCATTAGTAGTGACCCTTCCCGAGAAACTACCCCATACTTTGATTATGGTTCAAGCAATCAAAGCTCACAAATAATTTGTATATTTGTCCGCATGTCACTTGTGTATATTTGCTTATTTATAAATGCCTTCATTTGACTGATATTTCTCATTTATTTTGCTGTTCTGCAGCTGTTCTGCTCATCCATCTGTTTATGTCTTGTGGTGCCAAAAGAGTCAAAAGGGATTCAGATGAATCTTTCAGATTAATGGATTGGAGTCTAGTTTGGGGTCTTGGGCTGCAAAATTTGAAGGTAAGATGGTATTCTGTCATTCCTGGCAAATTTCTTTACTTTTTCTTTTGCAAAAACATCCAAACCATTGACTCTTCAATGAGGAAAATATGAAGACTTATTAGAAATGCATCTTTGCAAAAAATGTCTTTCTTTTGGGCTCTCAGCATTTCTACCCTATTTTCTCTGCTTGTAATGTTTATGGCTGCTTACAGTCTGTATAAGAAAATTGCTCAGACTGCATTTGTATAATTTATTTCTGCTGGTCTCTCCTGTGCCATATAATTGCTGCTACGTTGTTTGGTTAGAAATTTTTTTTGGAAACTAATGATGTAATTTTTAAAAATCATTTTTATGTAAGTCTTTATAAACAGCTGATTTGACAGATATAAAGTAAACCTTCAATTGAATGGACCATTTGTAAGTAGAGACTGGCTATATATTAAGCCCAAATGCCCATTAAATCTGAGTTTATGTGAGTTGCAACAATTTGTTCATTTGAATAATGACATGTGGCAGATTAACGCAGATACATAAATTATGTCATTTACATCAATGTATGTCATTTGTAAAATTATGTAATGAGGGCAATAATATAAATTACATTATTAATGTGTACCATTGTATCATTATAAAGACAATATAAATTTATAAAAATGATGGAACTTGTCTGGATTACTGTAGAACAAAGAACTTTATATGTTAAATGCTGAAACATAAAAATGTGTTCAGTGTTTCCAAAATTTACTAAACAAAGGTCCATTAAACCAAGATTTACTGTATATGGAAATATATTTGTATATTGAAATGAACAGTGTTTTTTATAAAAGCTAATAGATATTAGGATTTATAGACTAGAATATATTTCAGGTGATCCATGCACCTAGGAAAGAATTAAATAAATATAAATGAATATAATTGGTAAATAATTAATTATATGAAATAATTAATTTTAAAGGGATAAAATCTGGATATAATTGAACTAATCATTACAAATTTGAATCTCAGGGTACATTGTTGACTAAATTTTATGGTTTAAGATTCTTTTTAAAAATCAAGAACTCTAACAATACAATTATTTTGCCTTCCAAATCACCTATTCCTGCTTTATCTGTTCAGTCTTCCTTGTTGATTAACATTCCATGGGAGATAGCTGTTCCCCCTTTAGCTTCCTCACTCCTTTGAAGAGGAAAGTTATTTTTAGGGGAAATTAGGAATTTACTAGGAAGATCATCCTTTGTAGAATTAGTGTCCTGACAGATGTCAAGGTAATTAAAATATGTGATTTATTGTGATGGGCATCATCTATATCTTCTCATTTTACTTGGTTGATAGTATATTAGAGCAATCAGAGAAGCGTGATAAGTATAGTTTCTGCTCCTTCTACTTATTTTAATTCAGATCCTCTCAGTAATTCTACCAGGTTTAGTCCCTTGGATATTTGTGTAGCAATAGCTATTTATAGGCTTTACTGTCTGTCACCTTTACTGCACTTAGAAAGATGTAAATTGTAGTCTTCAAACATGAGAATGTCCTTAGCAGATGTCATATAGTCATGAAATCATATGTGCCTTATCTTATTTAGTTCTTATTTAGTATCATACTCCTAATTCAGTGGTGTTAAACTCAAGGCCTGGGGGCCAGACCTAGCCCGCAGGGTGCTTAGATCTGGCCCCGGGGCCCGCCTTGGAAACAGCGAAGGACCCGTGGTGCCTCTGCCAGTGAAAAGGGAGCTGAGGAGGACTGCATGCAGGCCTCCTGAGCTCCGTTTTGGGCTGCGACGGCCTCCTGCAACCCTCTGACAGTGAAAACAGAGCTCGGGGAGCTCCCTTTTCACTGGCAGAGGGCTGCAGGAGGCCATTGCAGCCCAATATGGAGCCTCGATGAGTAACATTGAGCTGGCCACGTTCATCCTGGCCACGCTCCCCCGGCCCCTTGAGGTCAAACACAACCCTGATGTGGCCCTCAATGAACTCAAGTTTCACACCCCTGTCCTAATTTCATTCCAATTTCCTCTCCACTTGATTTCTACTGTTCCCCTGCTTCCCAGTGGTCAGTTGATCTTTGTAACAAATCATGTAACATGAAACATCTCTAGCTATGTCCCCCATTAACTTCCATGTGCAGTTTAATGACTGAGAATATTAGCAGAAAATATTTACTAACACTTAGTTCATTTTTATAGATTTATGTGTCACTGTCCATACAAAAAACATTAGGATGGCGGCAGTTCCTATATCCTGAATTCTTATTTGTTTGCTTTGTTTGTACTAAATTATATTTTGAGACAGATGCAGTATTCTAGTGCTAGCTTTATTGCTTCTGAGCTGACAGAAGGACAGTGCCATTAAGTAAATGTCAACTGTGCTTGTTTGGCTTTGTGTTCCTTGTTAATAATTACAGACAGGAAGCTACCTATTTCCTCCTCTCTGCCTGCCTTCCCCACAGTGGAAGTGTGTGGAAGCCAGATGTTCTACCCAGGGCAGAAGACAAGGATGGCCTTGAACTGCCAACTTAAAAATTACAATCGTATATGTTCCTTTTGAGGCACCCAAGTCATCTGAAGTGTATGGTTCAAAACAGAAGGATGAACTTAACTAGAATTACTCTCGTTTTCCAATTTGTTACAACAGTGAAAGACCTATTGTGTTTGTAACTGTTGTAACAATATATATTTTAGAAATAATATAATACAAATAAAAATATAAAAACAATATAAATTTTAGAAAAGAGTAAATGGGGGGGGGGACCCCTGTACACATATATATGCACATGCTAGACAGACCACATATTCCATCCTTCATTCTGTCAATCATCCTGTCTTCCTAACCGAACTGGATGTTTGGATTAATAATAGTATTGTTTGTCTTTTTAAAAGTCTAGATCATAGGTTTCTAGTTCTCATGGCAGCAGGAATGCGTCTGCCTGGGAAAGTCTCTGAATCCAGTGCAAGTGGGACTTCTAATAATGAGATGAGTAAGATTTGTTTGCTCAGCATGGTTTCTCATCTCTTCACACAACTAGGGCCAATTGCAGCAACTGCACAGAATGTTTCTGCATATCACATTGCAGCTCTGTTATTTTGATCATATTTTTTCCAAAGAAATAACGGTTCATTTATATTCACTGGAGTTAAAATTACTGTGTTAAATAGCTGTTACTGCAGTCATTATGAACTGGCCTGGCTGCATCCTGGGGTCTAAATGAAGCTAGTATTCTTGTAAAACCTTTCATTCCTTTTATAGTACCTGCTTACTTCAGAAATCCTTTCAGCTCAAAAGAAATGCCGGTCCTACCTATTGGCTAAATAAAGAGGCTGCAGGCACAGAATAAAATGCAACAGGGCAAGGACTCTGGACAAAAATCTTGACTTCCCTTCAAAAAAAATTATTTGAAGAAATCTTTGATTGAACAGAAGGAATAACAGAATAAAATAAAGCAGTTTTTAAGACTTACATTTTGGTCATGGTCCCTGTTATGCAGGATATTTCTGGGGATTAGAGAAGGCACGAACAGAATATAGGGAAATGGCTTTAAGGAGTAGAGAGCATCATAAAGATAATTTAATTATCAGGCCACCTTATATATGTAAACATATTCAACTCGAAACTTGACTTTTGGTCTATCTGTCTCCAGCCAGTTAGTCACTAGCGGGGTCATTTTTCACAGGTCATATTTCAAGGTTTGTAAAATAGATGGCTCTCTGTCAGGGATTGGAATGACTTTTCAGATGTCCCACTGATTATTATTTGTCAGTCCCCAAATAAAGAAATGTGCATTTGGGATTTAATCAGGTATTCATGTACTGTGGTGTACAGAAAGTAGTGTAGGTACATTATGACAGTTTAAAGAGAGTAAAGGGAATGTTACAAATCTGCTGTCCTTTGAGCAGCCTGTGAGTTTTGTGGAATAGAGTAATTTACTTGGGATGAAACACTACTGTACTAAACCTTGCCATTAGGACAGCATGAGAGATAGGCCTAAAAGGGGTAAAAGATAAAAATGCAGATGAAATAAAATGTATTCTTGAACAGGATGAATTGGAGGAAAGGAAAGCATCGTTGTTTCTTTTTGTAATTCTCTCCAGAGTCTTATACAGTTTATTTGTTTATTTCCCCAAGATATCCTGTACTTTATCTCATAGGATTAATTTTTGATGACTTCAGAATAATGAGATTCATTTCAGATGGCTCAGGTTTTTGGAGGCCTTCCCACGCTCTTAAATCAACACTGGAATAGTGTTCTCGGTATATAGCACAGCCTATTCGTCAAAATGTTTGAATACTTTATCCCCAGTTGAGAGTAGTTCTTTTATCATCTCTAGGCAGCGAAAGGAATATGTAATATTGTATAACTGGAACATTGATTTCAAAGGTAAGCTTTGAATCCCTTGGGGTCCATTTTACTTAGTGATTTTTAAGATTTGCCTATTGTAATATGAACTGCATGTATCTACCTTTGACTAGTATTCAGAATCTTCTAACTAGTCAAAAATGCTGCTGCAAAAGTTTTGCTAGAAGTTGAAGGCTTCTCTTATGCTTGCACCATCAATGCTAGCTATCACCAGGAGCTGTGGTGGCACAGTGGTTGGAATGCAGTATTGCGCGCTAACTCTGACCATTGCCAGGAGTTCGATTCTGACCAGCTCAGTCTTCCATCCTTCCAAGATCGGTAAAAATCAGGATCTAGATTGTTGAGGGCAATATGTTAATTCTGTAAACCACTTAGAGAAAGCTGTAAAACACTATGAAGCCGTATATAAGTCTATTGCTGTTAGTATATCAAGACAGGACTATCCCAGTTCAGTCTAAAGTGATGAGTTACCTGAGATGTGGGAACTTCTGTCTTTTCCAAAATATCTGAGGATTAATGCAAGCTGATTTCAGTTTCCTAAAACATATATTAGGATAGTAATATAATAAGAATGGATACTCAAAAGATTCTATGAATTGTTTTCTTGGCCAATTAGTGAGAATCTTTCTTCCCTAATTTATACATTGAACAGAATGCTAGTTTTGTTC